AAGAAGGAGGCAAAGATGAAGGTAAAATGACGAGTGGAGGATTGGAGAGTTTATCTTTGTATCACACTTCAGCACTCTCCAGCCTGCTCGGATAGCCTCCCCTCTCCTCTGTCAACTTCTGATCTGCTTACACATCACTTCAGCCTTTACTCTGGGCTTGAGGGCAAGTCAGAAGGTCACACTCACACAACCAGCTGTGTTCATGTGCATCTCCATGTGCACGAGTGTTTATATCAAAATGACAGTTTGGGATGTTGAAGCTGTATCAAGCCTGCAGTCTAGGAGCTGAGTGTCCTTGACCTGATAAAAGCCCTGCAGTCTTCAGCTTCAGACCTATGAGAGATCAACCAAGTGCTTCTAAACACACTAAATGCCTAATGCACAGACAATAGATTGAAGAGAGCAAGTTTGTCTGTCAGTTTGCGTGCGTGCGTGTGTGCCTGGTCTTAGTATTTAGGGGAGGAGCAAAAAGAGCAGTTTGCATGATTCATCGTTCGTGTAAACAGAGCAATAATGAAAAGATGGATCGGTCAGCAGACAGAAAAATCCATCGTACTGTCAGCTGAAGGTCTGTCAAGGCCTTATGAGACACAGCCTTTCTTAGTGGGAATATAATTATAAAGAAACTGTTCAAATGTGAAGCATTTCTTTGTAAAAATAGATGTTATATAACAAAAACAAAGTGTTCTGAAAAAACATCTTCAGTTATAATTTATTAAGAGTTAAGACTCAAGGCCAAGAGTCTCTAGGCATGCCAGCAGCTTGGAAGCTTTACTTGGATGTAGCCGTGCTTTGAGCAGATATGCTAATATGAAAAACCTGTAAACGCACGCTGGTGATCCAGTTGTCAAGAATAATATTCAAATTTGGTACGAGGTGGGAAAGTATATATTTACAAAAAAAAGATTTGTATCATCCATCAGATGATATCATATCCTGAGTCGTCTTTTCAGTCTGACTAGAAAATATGTTGTTGTTGTTTTTTTTATTCTTTTTTAATGCAAGAGTTAACTACAATATCTACTGCTGAGATGCATTTTTTTTTTTTTTTAAAGCAGATGAACATATTTCACTCACTGGATCCCCTCAATTACCTGCCACATCATGACAAATGACAACGGTTTGTTTAATAAGAGGCGTCATATCAGAATTTTGTGTCTTGTTCCTCGGAGACTTCAGTAGCTCCACTATGTGACTTTGCACTGTCTTTTCTGCAATATAAATTTTTACAGCTTCTCAATTTTTTGGAAATTTAATTAAACTCAAATGAAACTTAAATGGAAGCAGGAGCTTGTTTGTTAACTTGTAATCATAAGCATGTCTCCAGCATGTTGATAATTATCAGTAAGTGGAATTTGACAGGATAAAATTTTGACCTGAGGCTGGTGCTAGATTAAAACGATCAGCAAAGGAATTACAATTCACTACCTGGGACCACATCCACGTTTAGGTTTGGCAGTGTTTCGAGTAGATAATGGCAGATGGTGTGTGCATGAATTGAGCCTGCAGTTTGGGGAAGGGCTCAGAGGGGACTGGCGCCGGCTCCCAGGCAGGGCAGATCCTCATGTACTAATGAGAGGTAAATGAATTGAAAAAGGGACGGAGGGAGGGTGGGGCACTAAAACAAGAACAAACAGCTTTTAGTACAGGGGAGTCATATATGGACAGAGAACCAACTCCTGAAATCAAGATATACTATCTCTCATTCATCATGTGGAATGTAAATCACTCTCAACTGTGATTGAGCTAACAACACAAATGTGAACCTCAAATAAAGACGTAAGACTTTACTTGAATTAAAGATAACAAGATGAAACTATAAAATCAGCACCAAAGCTTTCATCAAGATGTGTGTGCATGCCGTGCCAGTGTGTGTGTGTGTGTGTGTGTGTGTGTGTGTGTGTGTGTGTGTGTGTGTGTGTGTGTGTGTGTGCATGGACAGTCTGTGGTCCATCTCCCTGCAGTGTAGAGGATATCTATTAATAAATTCATTTGATTCATCTATAAATACATTTCTCCTCTTTCTCCTCACACTGGCGTGCTGTATAATGCTGTACAACAGCTTTGACAATAGCCATGCATGTGGATGGGGGGAGGGTGGTGTGGGTCTGGGTGACTGGTGTACGTGTGTGTGTTGGCTGGAGATTACATGAAGTGAACATATGACTCTCTGTTCTTCAGCGCCAGGATATGCAAGCTTTCAGCACAGTGGACAGTTCCTGAGCTTTGTGGAGTTGCAGAGAACAGAAGAACAGCCCCCAGCTTCTAAAGTGGGATTAACTCTGGTCCCTCTCACCCAGACACATGAGCTGTGGACCAGCTTCCCAATGTGTGGAGGCCACTATCTACAGGGCTTGTATGTGCAGACTCTGAAAAGCATTGTTTTTGCACTTGACTTCATAGAGTTTGCATGAAAAGAACACTTTGTCTCTTCAGTTGATCTCACTCCACATAACAGGGCATCCTTTTCCATTCATGTCATAAGAATTGCTGCTGCTTCCAGAAATATAAACTCATCTTCTCCTGTGCCCCAGAGGAGATTTCCCAGAACCACACACTGCAAACAGAACAGGAAGGGCTTTAATTAACTGGATACAAATGGTGCTCAAGCAAATTGCTTAAGCATGCAAGCACAGTTAAGCACAGCTACTGTCTACATGTTAGCTTTAAAGTATTAAAGTTTAAAGTTGGAGAGTAACATGGTATATTTATTAGTATCCTGTACTGCATGGGTGGTACAGGTGGAGGACCTCAGATGGTACTAGGTAGGTCTTATGCGGTTTTCAGCGGTTTGGCCGACTGCCTAACATTTCCCTTACTTTGCAAAGGTGACCTTAAAGATGAATGTGTGACACATTAGAATAAGACATATTTCTGGCTCTCCCCAGACACCATTTTGTTCCCTCTGCCACCTTACAGGGAATTTTGTATTACAGTACAGCTGTTGTATTGCTACAAAGTAGCCAAATGTTCTAATGCATTTTTATAGAGGCAGTAGGTCTGTCCACAATCAAAAATAATTACAACTTGCTGAAAATTTTCTGTGCCATTTTTTCAATCATTTGGTACTAAACTAAGATTAAAACAGTAACAACAAAGACGCATAATGTTTGTCTTTTCGGTCAGTTTTCAGATTGGCAGTTGTAACAAAGCTCACAACTTTATTTAAATAAATGGCAGAGGTTTAAAGATTTTACACACTTAAGCAAAAAACAAACAAAAAAATCTATCTGACTGTAAACTATACACAATGAAGTTATCCACCTGTTCTTTAGTGAAGTCTCGTTTTGGAGCTTTAAGTTGAGAATGTAGCTTTTGCCTTCTTGGTGTTTTGAAATTAGAAACAAAGAGCAACTAAGAAACCAAATGACTCTGCATGCTGGTAACAGTAACTTTTCTACAACAAAGCAGGCCTACCTGAAACATTGTGTGGCATTATAGAGAACATAAAGTCATCAGGACACTGTTTACTTAGGGGGCAATACAAGGTCATTAAAATGTGTTGTTTTCTCACAGACTTCTATACAATCAAATGTTGGTTAGTAAGACTGGAACAGAGCTACTACAGTAATATGATAAACAACAAAACAAGTGTTAACGGGACTCTATGCAGTCCTGTGAAAGGTAAGTATACCATTAGTGCTGCCAGGAATTAAGAAGGTAATTAATATCCAGGTGCTGCTAATTGAGCACTCAACGAGCAAGTGTGAACACCTCTATAAAAAAAGTTGTGGCAGTTTGCTTGTATGGAGCATTCAGGTGTGTGTTAAAACAATGTCACAATCTTCGCAGGACTGGCTGTCCTGTCAGACTATGCAATGCTCAGAGAGAAAAAAAAATAACCAAAAACAGAAAGACCCAAGCACTATATCTCAGATTCCACATGTCTCAGTTAGCATGTTAAATGTTAAAGTTCATGAAAGTACAATAACAAAAAATCTGAACCAGTCTGGCTTGTTTGGAAGGGTTGCCAGAAGAAAGCCTCCTCTCTAAAAAGAACATGGTAGCATGGCTTAGAGGTGCAAAACTGCATGTGAAGAAGTCACAAAACTTCTGGAATAATGTCCTTTGGATGGACAAGACAAAATAATTCGAGACAATTTATCTGAATTTCAGGAGTGGGCCAACACCTGGTACACACCCCTTCCAGTTGTCTGTCTGTATATGACCCCCCACCTCCTGAAAGACAAGCTGTTTGTTGTTTTTACTTGTTTTTATGGCACATCCTCCCTCCCTTTTTAAAACTCATTTACCTTTCATTAGCATATGAAGCTATGCCTGGCCCAGAAGCTAAGATTGTCCCTAAACTGCAGCCTTAATTCTTGCTTAACCATTATCTACCTGAAACTCTAAATGAGGATGTGGTCCCAGCTAGTGAAGGCACATCATAATGCACACATTTGGCAAAATAACATATCACCACAAACACCACACCATTTATGTAAACCTTTAAGGAAAATGTCGGTGTTCTTTCTGTATAAAGTGTTCGTAACTCAAATGCCAGACATCTAAAGATTGTAGTGAATTTAAATGGACAGGATCTGATCCACGTGTTCTTTAAATGTAGTACTAATTGCCATTTTGTTTAAAGGTGCTGGATTACATATTTTGCTGTTTGCAGAATAAGAGTTTTGATGTTTTCCGTTGTTATAAGATTTGCCGTTAGTTGATTTGGCATAAAATGAGTTCTCCAAATTACCAAAATGGCTGCCTATTTTGGTAACTTGGAGAACTCGATTTAAGCCAAATTAAGGACCTGAACAGTGGTGAAGTGGATTAGAATGGTTAGTTTGTGGCTTTAGGTCTATAAGTGAACGACTGGAAGCTTTATTTTTAAAAGGTAATGTTGAGATCAATGCGTGCCCGTGCTGGGATTTTTTAAAAGATGGCTTTAGATGCCAACTGATAACAGAGACTGCTCTAGAGGAAAAACGTTCGTTGCGGTGTGTCTGGTGTCGTCATGACGCAGTCGAGTAGGTGGGGGTGACGTACAGAGCATCCCTCAACCCCCTCTAACGGATGCTGAGACTGAGCTCCTGTGCGCGCGAGCTCTGGTAGCAGCTCAATCTCCTCCTCATCCTGCAAAGATGTCGCATGAGCTTCTCCTCACACGTTTCTTTTCTTTCCTTTTTCTCCCACTGCCCTTCACAGTTCGCCGAATTTGGTTAAATTAGCTGCTTTCATAGCAGGGAGTAGCTATCCTCGTCCAGGCACACGGACGCCCCCTCCCCACAACGGAGGTGTTTAAACCCTCAACCGGCGCATTCTCTCTCTCTCTCTCTCTCTCTCTCTCTCTCTCTCTCTCCAACCGCCGCAGAACTCCGCCGACCAACCGTCAGGTGACCGCGCGGAGCGGAATATTCACCCGCACGGCCGTCGACTTTCATCCCTTCACCCCTTCGGACTCCAGGCAACGGGAGCTGCCGCATTCCCTGTCCCCCGTGTCCTCTCATCCGGTTTGGGACATTCTCCGCTCCACGCACACGCAGATTAACGGGGATTCTGCCTCCCCACCCGCGCGCTGATGCTGATGTCCTTGAGCTCGGCCTGGACGGTGAGTCGATGAGTCCGTGCGTGCTCGCGTGCGTGACTGTTATTTACCCCGGGTACCCGAGCGCCTTTTTAATGGGGAAGATGTGCTGCTTTCGCTGTGATTCGTTACTCGCATGTCGGGAGGTTTTTACGGGCTTACAGAATATGCAACATGGCCTGATGTGGCATTTGTCATCGCAGGCCTTACACAGCTATAATAAAGCCTATACAGTAGAGCATACCATAATAACCTGGCGAGCAGCGCTATGACATTATAAGGAAGTGTGTGCCTGCGTGTACGCGCGTCTACGCGCCGATGTGCGTGCACACGCGTGTGTACATATATATTCATCCTTCCATCCATCCACTCATCCGTGTCCCGTGTCAGTTGATGAAGGGCTACAGTCCCACATTATCACCGAGCAGCACGCGCTGTTCTCGCGCCTGTCTCTTGCCTTTCCCGGGCGCTGTATGCAGCAGACATGTAAGGGCTATTTGGGATCAGTTGCGTTGTTTGTCTCGGTTACGGCGCATCGCACCTGCAGCGCCAACTGCGGAGAGGTTTCATTTTGATCCGGTAATGATCCGTGGCCCAAGGGACCTTCACATGTCGCCCGGCGTCGCGTGGGTGTGAGTTAGGCAGAGTGGGCCGGCGGTGGCCGGGCCAGTAACCTTGCGGAGGGACATCGGGTAAGCTAGTGGCGCACCACTGGCTTCACTCTGTCTCTCCTTGCCTTTGAGCGGGCCTGCCGTGTAAGTGTCTCGACTTTATTCATAACCTCTTCTTGTTGCTGTATGTGTTGAAGATGAGCCGAGAGATGAAGCTTGAGTAAGTGTGAAGGTGACCAGGAAAGGTCGTTTTGAATGGGAAATACACTGTTGCATGAGGCAGTTCCAGGTGCACCAAGAATTAGTAATGTGTGTGAATGTGACTTTAGCTTTAGGTGGGTGGAGATGTATATGCGCTCATGTGGGAAGGACATGGGATACCTTGAGTATATCAGTGCTGGATGTGATGGATACAGATGGATACACGATAGTACCCATTAACTAGTTATCACTAGGCCATTTTCTGTCATTCTTTCTTTCCCCAAATTTATGCCCACATTTTGTTGTCTTTCTCAAACGTTTTCCATCCCCACCCCCCTCATCATTATCCTGTTTCTTTAACGGGCTCTACCGTAATGTGGATATCTAAGCCCTGTTGGCGGCCCACCTTTAATGGCTTCAGCCTCTTGACTGTGTTAAATTCTAAGTGTGCTATTCCCACTGGGGAATAACAGAAGTGTGACTGGCACCAAGCCAGACAGGCAGCTGCCCAGATACAAAGGCCCCACCAGAGGGCCTTTCGGAAAGTAGGACTGCAGGTGCACAGGTGGACTGCAGCGAGCTATAGGGAATACTGACACGCTCGCATACATGGAATGTGGACAATCTCACCACAGATGACAACAGTGTGCACAAGATTTAGAAACGTGAACACACTGCTGCACACAAACTTATTCAGTTACACATGCTCAAGTCTGTGGAGCCTGGTTTGCCTCTATCCACCACACACAACACATAAACACACATACTCACACACACACACAAAGTCAGAAAGCATACATGGACCTCCTGGCCCGAATTCAAATCCCATGAGGATCTTCTCTCCTGTGTCTTCTGCACACTTCTCAACCTCCTTGCTGCTGCAATGAAGAGAAAACACCAGAGGGAACAGAACAGACACTTTCTCTTTTTAAAAAAAATAAAATTGCTTCAACCCTCTAAGGGATAGTGTGTGGACAAGCAGGTCCAGCATTCAGTATAAATGGGCAGGCTGCTGACAATTGTGGTGACCTTTTGTTTGACTCTTTTCATGTTCAGACACATTTTCAGTCAGGACAGGACACCCCTACCCCCTTTGCTGACTCTCTTATTTTGAAAGCGTTGTTGTGTATGACACATTTGTGTGCGTCATGACAGATCATATAATTGATGTCTCTGGGCATGAGGGTTTGTGTCTTTGTGTGCTTACTGTCCATTTGTGATGCTTGTATCCTGTGCCTAAAGGTTTGTGTGCATAAGAGTTAGAAATGCATGACAAAACAAAGTGCTTCTCTTTTTTTGCTATGTATGTAATGCAGCCTTACATGCACTTGTGTGTTGCACACATCAAAGCTGAGTCAAGCAGAAGGCCACATTCAGAGTTGGGTGCAGTAGTTTGGACGATGAACAGAAGCTGTTTGTTACGTGACTGTTACAAAATCAGACGGAATCAGTGAGTAAGACATCAGGCTGGATAAGAAAATGTGCAACTGGCTGACTAAATAAATGATTGCAGTAGCAGGAAGCAGGTAGACGGGGAGAGCAGCAAGAAAAGGGTGTTGGGATTGGGGCGGAGGTAAAAATAGGTAAAAATAATAACAAGCAATGAGACACCACAAGACACAGAATGGAAGAACACAAAAAGGTGGTAAAACCATATAGATGGAGCAGAAAGATAGATATAGAGCAAGAAGAAGCTTCAAAGGCAAAGGAGGGTGACTCACTCATAAACTAACACTCTCAGTCAGGATAGAAGCATGACAGGGAAGAGAAGAAAAAGGGGAGGGAGAAGATGCAAGAGGCAGAGACTGAAGAGTGGAGAGGAGGGAGGAGAAAAGGAATTAATAATCAGTTTCACTTTGGGGGTTTTTCTGCTCGTCCACATGTAAAATACTCTTATAGGGAAAAAGAATCTGATGTGTCATGTGTGATGCTGAGAATAGTTAAAGGTGGTGCTATTTGCTCATGCAGGATGAAGCTTCGTTAGTGTTGGTGCAGTGGAAAGAGAAAGGAATGTGCTGCTGTCCTAGGCGATGCTGAGTGTTGTTGGTGTCAGATTTATTTTAATGAAATTTGTCCCAGAGACAGGTTAACATGTCAGTGATTAGGAAATTGTTTTTCAATAGATTAAGATGAGGAGCTCACTTCAGGAAATTCCAGATGTAGTGTATTCAACTGGTCTAAATTAATACTATCGGAGTATGACAGGGTAGCTTACTGTTTAGAAGTCCCACAAAAATATCAAAATATCCAAAGCAGGAAAAAGAATATATCTAGTTTCCCCACCAGTGGCGTTTTCAGTTTTTTTTTTCAAAATTTTTCCCCCTTTTTTAATGTAATAGCCCCAGCGAACCGGGGGGATGGGATTAGAAAATTCCATCTGATGTAAAACCAAACCAGCTAAAATTACTTGCAAATTCAGTGCGTTCCCACGACATTAATAATCACAGACCTCCCAACTACATCAAGGGGCTCTACAGTAGGACATGTGGCTGCCCTATAACCATATGGTGACCCCATGTATGATGCAGGACAAGATTCCCGGGGATAGTAGGGCTAAAACAGTGCAGTGCTGTAAATACAAAACTATTTTATTGAGTGGTAGAATTAAAGAATAACGTCTCACACATACTTTGTGTGAAGTCCTCTATTGTGAAGTAAAGAAGTTAGAGAATGGATGGCTGTAGAAAAAACCCCCCACTATTGCTATTTAGGCACAGTGTTACATTGGGTGACATGCTCTCCCACGTTTGCACACATTCGCATTTTGACCCACAGTTGTAAATAGTTCTCTGTAAAACATCAGTTTAGTCCTCTTTAAGAAATAAAAAACTGCAGTGCTCTGTTTTTAAATGGGTCTATTCTGCTTTACCCGTATTTCTGTTCCCTGTATACTGTTCCAAAGGTGCATGATACTGTAAAACATAGCCAGTCTTTCAATTAATGTGGTTATCGTATGTAAGTAATCGGTCTGAGTGAAAAGCTCAGGATTCAGACTGCTCCACTCACGTACTTTGACACAGTCTTTTGTTTTCTGTTTGACTCTGTGTGATGTCAGTGAGAGTAGGTCTGGTGGCACGCATATAAGCCTTATTCACATGACTTTGTAAAACTTTGTGAGGGGCAGCCAATCAGAAGAAAATTATCTGAAAGGGAGCGGTAGGGGACTGAAAACAGATTATTTTAGATGAGCATCAGCTGAGGAGCTTCATAAATGATTAGTGTAAGATTACTCTGAACTGTGAATAGGGCTGCTCGATTATGGAAAAAATGATAATCACGATTATTTTCACTGAAATTGAGATCTCGATTATTTGACGATATTTATTTAACAATAACAATGTATTGAATAATGACTTTAAAGATTGTCAAAAAATAATATAAAATAATGTGCAAATGTTTGCAATATAAAAAATAAATGAAAAATGCAAACATCTATGTTTAGTGAACTTTGCAGTGTTGCTCTGTGGTGCAACTATGACACTGTAGCAAACTTTACACACTCTGTCTACTTGATCCACGTCTGACTCCGCGAACCCATAATGTTTCCACACCACTGAAGTTTTTTTTACCTCTCTTTTCAACCAACAGCAGTCACTCTCCTCTCCAAATAACTTCTGCTTAGCTTTCCGAGCTTTCCGAGCTTCCCTCGCGTAGTCTTAATCAGCGGTCCCCAATCCCTGGGCCTCGGACCGGTACATGAGTCGTTTGGTACCAGGCTGCGAGAGTTGAGGCTCAGGTGTGAAACGTATGGTTTTCAGGGTTTTTATCGGTTTTCAGCGTTATTTTGTTATCGTTTTTATCGTTTACTCAGTTTTCCTTGGTCTTTTCACGTGTGTTATGAATAAATTTTCTTTTTTTCGGTACCGGTACTCGTTTTATTTTTTTGTATTTATCCGCGACACCTTAAAGGCCGGTCCATGAAAATATTGTCGGGCATAAACTGGTCCGTGGCGCAAAAAAGGTTGGGGACTCTTAATTGTTGTGACACGTGTTCGAAATGCAGAGAGGTGCGCTCGATTTGCCACACGGAGCAGCGCGAGAGTAAAGCACGAGGGAGGGGCTAATAATCGGCTCAGTCATTTTTAATGATCGTTGAAAGCCCAGATCGTAATCGAGATTAAAATTCGATTAATTGAGCAGCCCTAACTGTGAAGCATGAAAGAGTACACACACAGTAAACAGTAGAGATTAAGCATATTAAGTTTGAAATGA